AAACCCCTTGAGGTAAGTCTCGCCGTGTCGCCATGGCAACCACAAACACCTCGAGGTAAGTCTCGCCGTGTCGCCATGGCAACCACAAACACCTAGAGGTAAGTCTCGCCGTGTCGCCATGGCAACCACAAACACCTCGAGGTAAGTCTCGCCGTGTCGCCATGGCAACCACAAACACCGAGAGGCAAGTCTTACCGTGTTGCCATGGCAACTAGGAAGACGTCGAGCTCGGAGTGGGTTGCGTTGTGTTGTCACGGTAACTATGAACATCGCAAGGCAATTTGCCGTGTGGTCATGGCAACTACAAACATTTCGAGGCGTGTTGCACCGTGTTGTCGTGGCAACTAGATAAATCTCTATGTACGTTGGTGTTACCAGTCCAGCAAAGAACACCAACGACCGTGCGAGATGCGATCAATCGCATGTCAGCGATTCTTACATACATTAAAGATCCGGATACAAAATAAATCTCCTTATACGATTAACAAATAATAATCAACTTTCCTTCTCATCCTCCTTTCTACCAAAGTTTCACGAATCGCATCGACGAAGCACACTTCGGGTTTCATCCCCTAGAACTTTAAACATTGGTTTTTATATTTTAAATATTTGCCGCGTTGGTTTAAATATTCCCTTTTTCGTAGGAGGCAAAGAAAACACATGAGCAGCTGAAGCGTCGGCTGCAGGACGAGTGCGATCTGGAACATCTTCGGCAGGAAGTCGCGAGCATCCGGTCTCGCTTCCCCGACCCGGAATCGGAATCCGGCCACCCGTTAACGGGTTCCGGAACGGAAGCCGGAGCCGGCGATACCGACGTGGAAATTGAAAAGAGAGCAGGAGACGATGACTCAAACATGGATGCCGCGCGACATGCCAGCGACTCAAACATGGCCGACGCGACGCCGGCTGGAGAACTCGGATCGTACCGGCGAGCGAGGGATGAGCGGATCGACAGATTTCTGCATTGGCTGGAAGACGACAGGTTGCAGCAGTTGCAGCGTCTGCAGCAGCAGCATCAACAACAGCAGCAGCAGCATCATCAACAACAGCAGCAGCAGCAGGTTCCTCTAGAGCCCCAGCAGGAGGGGCTCTGCGCACGCAGCTGATTGCAGCCATTTTTGGACCATTGCATCTTTAAATTGACTACGTCACGAATTTTCTACGGTGATATTTGTAAAAATTGTTGCACCAACGGGTTGCACCAAGTACTATAACGGGACTAAATGTATCGTCAAATTCTTACCTGATAAGATTGTTTCTCAACTAGTTAAAAATCCAAAAAAAGCTGGACGATTTGATATTATTATCCTGACATTAATTGCTTGCTATGTACGAGTCACGAGTGTATGTTTACATCGAACAATATAAGAATATAGGAAGTATAATGCAGCAATTTAACCATAAAAAGTGAACAGAATTACTTACATTTTGTGAAAAAGTGGAAATATTTTTTTAGTTTTACTATTTATGGTGACGTAATCACTTTAACAGCTTACGGTCGTCCGATTAGGCGCTGTACAAAACATACGTTAAATTGGTTTATTTGAATTGACGATTGAAGCGTCGCCGTTTGTGTCGATCTTATGCTATGGTCAGTGGGTCTAGATGTAAGTAATTAATCTAATGCAGTTACCATTAATTTAATTAGCAATGTTGTGGATGTTAATTCTACGTGAGGATGACAGTGACGAGTGACAGAGATGTAGAGGTACAATTGTCTGGTCAATTGCTATCGGCAGCGAGTGTCTCCGAAATTATTGTCACGCGATTGTGTCGACTAGTAAATCTCAGATATCTCGTATAATGAATGGTATTAATCTCTATATCATCCAGTTCTTCACCTTTCTGTATCCGAAAAGACTTGTCAATGGTTTTCACACGTAAAATTTGTGTCGTTCTTTGCACCGCCGTGTAGTGTGGAATCAGGAGTCAGCTCCTGGTGGAATGTATGCCGATGCTAGCAACTAATTGCAATTCGCTTCAAAACGAGGGTAAACAAAATAAAAGAGTTGCGTCGTTCGTAGCGTAACGGATTTTTCATTTATTTTATTTATTAATTATTTAACAACTACAGCACTCGCACCCACCGTCCGACGGAGGGGTGGCCCCCGCCCCGCCTAGCCCAACCACACCTAAGGTACGACCGTAAAGGAGAGGGGGGGGAGGCATCAGCTTGAAGTGTGTGGTGAGTAGGCTGTCGAGGGCGCGACTCCGTCTCAGGTACGAGACAAACTCTGGTCTCACCTGAGAGACGAGAGGGAGAGAGATAGACGGTTAGCGCACGAGGGAGAGGAGGAGAGGGGGAGAGGACCGCGAGAAAATCGACAGCTTATCTAACGGCAACATTGCATTTACGTCTGCGATAACGACGTCTCGTTAACGCTAACGATGTCTCGTTAACGCTAACGATGTCTCGGGGAATTCGCGCGACGCCGCGCTTCCGAAAAAACACCGGAAATATTTGTGCGGGGCAATAATTTTGCAAATTAAAGATTTGAAT